CGTCGAAACTCGTTTGCGAGCAATAGCCGTTTCTCTTCCGCGCCCGGATCGTCTTACAGATTCTTAGTTGACAACCTTCCGCACACGCTTCCTTGCTCGGAATCTCTGGAGGGTGAAGAATATTCTCCCGGATTGAATTTCACATGGGTCAATTACGAGTTTCTATTAGCGATTTTTATGTCTGTATTTTACTGTAAAAGCGACGGTCTTTTTTTTTTTATAAATAACGTTACGTTATGGTTATGTTATTTTCAACGTTGAAATAATTCAGGGGTTTGCCATAAAACTAGAAATAATGAAAACGTCAGAGAAATTGAAATAATGAAAATGTCGGAGAAATCAGAGACAAGACAAGGAATTTTGCAAAATTTTTTGAAAAATAAAAACTCTTGGTTTTAAAGAAGTTTGACGTTCATAAATCACACTTATGTATAATTTTAGAATACTATCAACTTAACAATTAAATGCACAAGCAGCAATATTAATAGTAATTTATATTTATATTGCTATATTAAATTGCTATCTAAATAAAATATTTAACGATTTTGAAACAAAGATAAAAAATACAAAAAATTCCAAAAGTTGTAAAAAATCAAAGAACATAATTAAATTATATCTGAAATTCGGGGAAAAGTTATGGAATTTCAGGATAAAGAATTTGTAGCAACTGTAATTGTCTTTTATTTGATTAGTTAGTGGCGAGTTATTTGTGAACGATTTTATGAAAAATCTCTACAATGTTAAAAATCAGGATATAAAAAATAGCCTTTCATTACTTTCCTTGATTAAATTTTATCCTGTTTTATCCTGTTAGATAATGATTTAGGAACTGTTTGAATCCTTTAATATTTTAATTTCCCAAGTTTCAATCTGTTCCTTGGGACACTTTTTATTCATATAGAGACTCACAGTGAGATATTAAAACGTGACCTTTAGAACTTCATCGCTCGGACGCTCTCGAAACTCGTTAAACTCGGCGAATTATAATCTACCCGATGCTTTTTGCGACACGCGCCTCGGGATTCCATTCGATCTCCGTTCTCGTTACGTGGGTGATATTTTCCAGTATCCGGAAATAAGCGGAAACGGAAGAGGAAGCGGGCACGCCTGTTCAGACGAACGTACCTCGAGCCACCGGAAATGGTACGTTCCGCCTCGTAATAGAGGCCCTTTCTTCTGAAGAATTAAATTCGCTCGAGGCTATTTTCTTTAAGGAGAGAAAAAAAGTATCACACAGCGGTCTTATTTCGATGTTTGAATAATATGATGACACATAATAAAATAGTGCATTTGTTTCTCGTCGCGTCATTTTTACCATTATGAATCTCAATTTCATAAATGTTTTCAAATTCTATGTCGGCAGAAATAATTTGCGATAAAAATATATTGTGAATTAGAAAAAGGCACTTGCACTTATTTGTTAATCATGAAATAATATGAATATTATTACATACAAAAGCTACTGTGCGTTTCGCGGATTATCTCTGTGTCCATATTCATATCATTAGAATGCTAACGTTTCGTGAACATTGTAGTTCAGTAGTTCACCAGAGCGAGGAGCAGCCTCTGATAATGTGAACGTTATGAATATTTAGAGGTTTGAAACGAAGCAAATATAATATTTTCACTTGTGACTATCGTTTCCTTTGGATTACTTACATAAATTAAGAAACATTTTCTAGATATCGATACAAAGTTGAAAAGGGTAAAATAAACGAACAAATAATAATATCAAGTTCATAAAATCTGTGTGTATTTAATATAGTTAAACAGGCGGGATATTTCAAATACAGAATCTTTAATTGCTATAAAAAATCGAATGATCAAATACATACGCAAATATTCGAAGAATAATGATAATTAAATAAGAAAGTTATCGCATAAAACAACAGTGTCGTTGGAAAGCGTTAACATACAGCTTAAATATCACAATTAAATTGAAATTCGTAACTGGATTGAAAAAAATATCAATATATATGTTCTAAATATTTTTTAATTAAAAACAGTTTTTTAATTTCAAAGCTATTGAGGACATACATTTTGATTGTGTTGACATTTCTAATTTTTTAATCTAATTAAGACATTTGAGTTGTATAACACAGTTTCACCAGCATGTTTTACGCGAAAACTTTATTATTATTTTTATTAAAATAATTTTCTTATTTCTCCGTTCATTTTTTGCACGTGTAAAGGTGGTCACTCAGACAAGCGCGCTAATTGCAACGAGCGCAGAATTGTATAGAAGGAAAGGGGTAAGATTTGAGGAAACATGGCTGAAAGATGCACGTCAAACGACGAAACTGGAGCAAGACTCTAGCTGAAACGCAATCATTGGACGATCGGAGTGATGTTTCTGTTTCTGTTCTCGCGCTCCTATACACGTCACTGTAAGCGTGGCACTATTGTATTGCACTTTGACGTATCCACCGCCGGTTTTGCTGCAGTTTAATAAAACCGAGTTATTTCTAACTCGATGGACGTAGAGGAAAGAACGTAGGAAAATCTCAAATAAATTATCGCGAAATACAACTATTTTAAAAATAAATGGGACAGCAGACGATAAATGAAAGGGAGGATGAAAAGAGAGGAAAAAATAATACAGAATATATTGAAAGCAAATAATGCGATTCGATGTGAATTTTGGGAACAACATATGGATAATATACGCTGTTAAATTCATAATTAAATTCAAAAATTATATGCAATAGAGTTATTTTAATACTTTTTATAGGTCATCACTCCCAATCAATATAACTAATTTAACTAACACAATGGAGTACAATTCAAGTAAAAAAATATTAAATTTGGCACGAATTTAGTTCATTATTATTTATTAAACGCATGTGTTAATATGAACGTTGTTTACTTTGAAACTAACTACAGAAATGAATTGATTTATCTTTTGATACACATGGAAGTTATAAATAACAAAGTGTTATTTAACTCGAGAGATTAGGTTACCATTGCTCTTTTGATGATATCTAACAGTGTAAAACGACCGATAGAACAACTCAGAAAGAATGATTTTATTGCAGTATCTAAAAATTTTGCTAGATATATACCTGAAAATTTTATTGAACGATTAAAATAATTATATTAGATGTTCAAACTGGTTTCTTGAATCTTAAAATTTTTGCAACATTGCTCGAGTTTCCTACGTAATTATTTCGATGGTCTAATAAAATTATTTTTAGATCTATATTTACATATTTCAGCGAATACCGTGCAGGATTTCAGATGGAAATCGATGTTGTTTCGCGAAATGAGATTTCACGTGGTGGCTTTTCATTTTAGTCTCCAAAGAAACACATTTCGATAATTTACAGCGGTGATTTTGTCTTATAAGTCGTCGGGGAAAACGGCGCTTGATTAAAATTAATAAACGCCGAGGAATAAATGAGTGAACTTTGGGAGTGACTCAAACCGGTCTCTCTCGTTGGCGAAGTTCGATACGCGAAAGAGAGACGGTGAAACTCACGACGGCGATGACGTATAACGCGGCTATCTTCTCTTTTCCTTCTCTACCTTCATTGCGACGCGGATCGCGCGCTCACGTGATTATACGGCGTAATTTATGACGGCGCGTTCGCGCATCAAAATGCGACGATTTGTGCGGTGACGCGCTTTTCGAGACTCATTTCGTACGACGATAAGATAACCGGAGCTGTTAAATTAGAATCTTGGGCCCGAGCGTGTTCATTTACCTCTCGCAGCTCGCGACAGCAAAAATGGAATCTATTTCGGAAATTGTATCTACGATGCAATCTTTACATACCAGAGTTGCTATGAAACTCTGGAAATCGAGGAAATCAGGCAAATGTCAGGGAAATCTAAAACGATCAGGAAAAAGTAAAGGAATTTTGCAAAATTTTCTGGAAAATAATTTTTGGATTTAAAGAAAATTAATATATATACATTACACCTCAACGTAGTTTTAGAATATTACCAACTTAATAATAGTTAAGTGCAAGTATTAGCAACATTAATAGTAATTTACATTATCTACTATGTTTATAAAGTGCTCTCTGAACAAAATATTTAACGGTTTTCAAGGGACGAAAATAGAAAAAAGTTTCAAAATATTATTGAAAGCAGCAGGGAATGTTATGCAATTTTATCTGAAAATCGAGAAAAAGTTATAGAATTTTAGGACGAAAAATTTGTGACAATCCTGAATCTGTATAATTTAATACGCAATATTTTATTGTTTTTACTTTTGTGTCAAAAATTATTAAGTTATGTAGTAACGTAATTGGAGCAAATTTTTATTTATCTCCTTTCGCCGACCCGATCACTACGATCGATAATTATGTTTGCGTTAAGGCGCAATAAATATCTCCGCGCGCGCTATTTGCGTGCGAGTTTTGCGCATGCAAAGTTGGTCGGCCAACATTACTCTTACGTCATTAGTAGACACGGTTGGGATGAATGTGCGTAGCGTGAAACGACTCGTCATTGACCGGCGCATTGCGCATCAATTCCATGTTGTTGTCCACATTAATTTGATCACATGATCAAAATTTGTGGACATGCTCTATTGGCAATTAATAACCGATTTATTAGTTTAAATCTTAGTGTGTCAACATATTATTGCGTAATTCATTTCCGAAAATATTTTCAGCATTATACATATGTATGTGTCGCGTATTAGTATATGTATTTAATGTATATACAATATGATATATACATAAAATGTATAATTGTATAAATAATTAATTGTATAAATAATTAAAATAATGGATATGGTTGTCACAAAAGTGAAAATGAAAGAAATCGGGGAATTGTCAAAGAAAGATGCGAAGTATAGAAGACGAAAAATAATTTCTCCATTTGTAAAAGTCGCTTCTTTTTTCCAAATTTTGTGTGTAATTAATTGTACACGGAGCACAGCAAATTAAGCGTTTAAACTCATTTTTCTCTTGCATCGATTTTGTTCACCTTATTTTAATCTCATTGTCAGTGCTGCGTTTATTCATTCGTTTGTATTTGCTTCTTTGCAGGGACTCCTAGATAAGTTCCTGATCTCCAAGGCTAGCAATGCCGAGAGCAAAGTATTCTACCTCAAGATGAAGGGTGACTACTACAGGTATCTCGCAGAAGTCGCCACCGGTGAAACCAGAAATAGTACGTATCGATCCCCCGCGTTATCTCGCGTACTTAATCCGGGGCGAATTTCAAAGCGAGAGATGATTCGAAGTGCGAGATTATAAACTCTTTCCATTTGGTGACACAAGTCGACACAGGTATCGTTTTATCTTTGTTACTTAAGGGTTGCCAAGAAAGAAGAATAACGTTTGCGTTGACTTGTATCATCAAATGAACAGTATCTTATCTTTTGTAACGATACAATCGTGATTTCTTGTTCAATATCGATACGAATGTTATCAGTGCAACTGGCGTAAAGCGTTAATTAAACCTGATCGTTTATGCTGCATTAAATGCACACCAAATTATTAAAAGTTCTTTGCAAAGTCGTCACCTCGCTTTGATCGTCTTCCCGAATGGTCGATGCAACTGCATCCGATTGTGCAAGTGCACGAGATGGACCTTTCTCAAATTGACCATTTCTGGCACTCACATTACAACGCAGCTGCATCGACAGATGTTTCGTTTTGAGTTATGGGCGGATCCCTGGACTTTTGCATCGGAAGCAGAGTCAGTTGCAGTCGCAGTCGTTCACGGGTGAAAGTCGATTGCAACGTTGTCGAGTGAAACTTTAGTCACACATTTCAATTGCAAAGTTCTGCAAAAAAATACTGATAACAAAGATAATTATTGGCCATTAATTTAAACGTATTTTTATGTTTGTTCTTTGTACATAATTATTTAATGCTATATAATATATATGATAATATTGGATGTTGAAGATTAAGTAGAAGATTCTGTTTTTTAAATTAATCGAATATATTTAGTAAAATTTATATTGCTCTTTTTTTATGAGTTACAAAACACGAAATTTGTATAAAGTCCAGGGAATTGCAAACATTTATGTATATAAAATTAAAAAAATTTTTTGAAATTGAATCTCACACTAAATAATGAAAATTGGACTAGTCTATAAAACGAGTGGATCAATTTTCAATCTTTAAGAGTGAGATTTTAATTTTGGAAAGTTTCAGAATTTTACATTAATTAGATTTAGAAAATAATAAATAACGAATATTGGAGCGAATGCAAACATAGTATTCGCATTAAGTATGATAAAAATGCTCTTAAGTGCTGCTAATCAGATGACTTTCATTTCAAGTTGCATTTACAGAGTTTTGCTCAATTTAAATGCAAGATAATTATTAAACATGTATGTAAAATTACATTTAGGAAAAATAGTAGTCTATCTTTTTTTTGAAAGAAATATATAAATTGCCTAAAAGCAAGCACATAAGAACAATAGAGCTGCTTAGAACGTAAATAGAACAAGTCGATAAATATATATATATATAATATATAAAAGATTAATATATATCTTAATAAAATTTCTAAGAAAATCTAATTCTAAAAACATTAAGAGGCAAATTAATGCTAATGTAAAAGTTGAATCCTTTCATGGCGCATTTCGAAACACGATAATTCCATATTACTACGTACCTCTAAGTTCTAAGTAGCTCTCAAAGATTTGATACGATACACTCGAAGCGTGTTAGTTCACGCTAAACAAGATAGACATTTGATGATCCATGTAATATCCAGCCGTGGTAGACGACAGCCAGAAGGCATACCAGGATGCCTTTGAAATCAGCAAGTCAAAGATGCAGCCTACCCACCCGATCAGGCTAGGTCTCGCTCTTAACTTTTCTGTCTTCTATTACGAGATTCTCAACTCACCAGACAAGGCCTGTCAACTGGCCAAACAGGTACACGATCAGAGGACTAATTGTTATTTTTCTAGCGATTTCTTGGGAAAGAGAGCTCGATGACGGTGATGGTGGTGATGGTACACAATGACAACAAAAGTTATCTTACAATTTGTTCTGCCAATTTGTTCATTTCCATCCTACAAAGATCGGTTGAGTTTAATATTTATGATGTAGTGTACTACGATTATTTTTATAGTTTTCAACAACCGCTTATGAAAAACGTCTACTGATAATAGTTCAATTGTCGGACTATATAAAGACAAATTATGTAATATCGAGATGATTTCAGTAATGTTATTTTAGTAACTATGGACAGCTAATGTGACTAATTTACTTAGACGCAATCCTATAAATACCACGTGTAAAATTTCTAATATGCAGAAAAAGGCGTTTGCATTTAAATTTGTAATGTAATTACGCTGCCATAACGAATTATTCGCTCGACTCATACACGATGACTCACAATCAGAAGATGTACGTCTTAGCAGGATCATGTCGTAGAAGATCGGTGACGATTTATGGACACGGCCCGTTCAAGGCCAACAGAATTCCAAGTGAAACGACATGCGCCGATCTTTGTAGGACAGACACGAAGCGAATCGTTGAAATTCGCTTGCGTTTTCCCTCCATTTATTCAGCTTTTGTTCATCTTTCCTCTCCTCACGCTCCTCTCCCGTCACATCTTTCCGACAACAATTTATTACTTCGATGGTTACGGCGCAAAAATGAGGTCGTGGAAGGTGTAATCTGAATAGAGGCTGATTTGCATTTGCAGCGGTAGTCGAGGATTCGCAGAAGGCGTATCAGGAGGCGTTTGACATTGCGAAGGCAAAAATGCAACCTACGCATCCGATCAGGCTCGGCCTTGCCCTCAACTTCTCCGTTTTTTATTACGAAATTATCAATTCCCCGGCTAGAGCCTGTCATTTAGCTAAGCAGGTTAGAGGAAGGATTATGGAGGGCTTGCTCTTGGCGTTACTGAGTGTGATATTTTTCTTCTATATAAAGCCCCTGTTATGTGCATTAACTCGTTCGCCGTCGAATTGGGTACGTGATAAGACTGCTGATAAGAAACACGGGCGATAATTAAGCTATGTATTCTGATTAAAGCACTCCTGCTAAAATCTCAATCTTCGTAGTTTGAGTAATAAGAAAAGAATAAGACATTATTTTATTTCTTCATTGAATTGAATAATTAAAAAAAGAGATAAATACTTGTATTTATTTTTGTATGTATATTTAAATCACTGGAATCCGCAGTCTTACTATAAAATCAGCTGTAGTTCTTGCCGTGTGTATTTATCCTATTCATTATCTAATGGCCAAATCCTAATTTGATTTAATTCTAACATCAACTGTTATGTGAATGTTGTGTTGTTTAATTTTTTTTAAACTTTTATACTACGTAATTAATAAAGTGAGACCTCACTGTGATACCATACTAACCATCTCGCATCATGTTCTCTCTCTCTCTCTTTCTCTATATATATATATATATACATAATTACACAAGTTAAATTGCTATTACTATTGATTTATATATATATATATATGTATGTGTGTGGTGTGTAATTATGAATATTGACAGAATTAATATAATTGTATTTATAGATAAAATTTTATTTTTATATTAAAAGTAATATGTGTATACATTTTGGACTGCTCTAATAATTATTTTGGAATTAAATTTATTTTTATCATTAAAAAATAATATTAAGATTTCTATAGTATATATGCATTAAAGTGATAATAAAGAGGATTTTAATACAGATTAAAATAACAAAAAAAAAAAGGTTAAATGAAAAATATCTTAACACATTTATTACTTTTGCAGGCGTTCGACGATGCGATCGCGGAGCTGGACACACTTAATGAAGACAGCTACAAAGATTCCACATTGATCATGCAGCTACTGCGCGACAACCTCACTCTGTGGACCAGTGACACGCAGGGCGACGGGGACGAGCCACAGGAGGGCGGCGACAACTAACCTTCCTACGCTTAAGTCCTTTCTAAACCTAATAAGAACATCCTATTCTCTATCGTCCCCCCGTCCCCCTGAAGTGCTCACCCGTATGTCCATCCACCCGGTTCCATCCATCCATATCCACCTAACCTCTCGTCCCTCGCGTACCTCGTTTCCTTCTTTCCTTCCTTCCTTCCAATCGCAGGCCTCCTTTTTCCTTAAATCTCTTCTTTTTAAGAAAACTGATCCTTCTCTCTTTCTCTCTCTTTTTCTCTTTCTCTCTCTTTATCCTGACATAACCGTACACTGCTACCGATGCCACCGCCACAGCTGCTATGTCCGGTTCGAAAAATTCGAACGTTAAGAGCCGAATTATTCACCCATGCTCGATCGTGCCCATTCGTGGATAATGGCAAATGAAAAATCTTAAACATCTTCTTTTCTTAAAAGAATCGAACTTAAACATAAAATTGTAAATTTGGTCGACACCTGGAGTAGACAGGAGGCAAGAACGTTGATGCAACGTGTATCAGATCAAGATAATGCGTGGGAAAAACCATTATTAGCGAAGACGATCGAGCAGTGCATGGATTATACGGTCTCTCGCGTACGAAATTTCTTAGACAAAAAGAAATCTGTTTATTGTCCCGTTTGTATGGAGGAACAGGAAGGAGCGAATTGTGGATGAATAGAGGAAAGGACAGGAGGAGACACATTTACATCTTCCCTGCATACCCTATCTCGTCGATGCGAAAATCGTCACGCGGACGCAGCTAACACGTGTGCGCGTGCACCTTCATTGTCGATTACGCATATAGCAGAAAAAAGGAAGCAAACGCTAGATTATTTGACTTTTGCGAATAGGAAAATGATGTACTATTAAAGAGTAAATCATACACATCGGGACGAGACATGGCATGCAGAGGACCGACCGACCCACTGTCATTACTCCCAAAATCTGCTCGCTGCTTACCATTTCAAAAGAAAAAACAAAAGAACACAAAGTTAGAATAAAAAAAAGAAACAAGATACAAGCCAAAAAGTAACAGCGCGGAGGTACGAGAAGAAGCGAAGAGAATGAGAAAATGAAAAAAGCACGCATGAATCTACTACATTATATCCAGTTGTCATTTAAATTAAATTTCACATTGTCTAGCAAGTAACGAATATTATTATACGAAGGGAAGAACGCAGGAGGAGAAAGGAGAGTAAAAACAAATACATTAAGTTATTAAGTTCCAAAACAAACATCAGTGGTCACTTGATTTTTCACACTTTATCTTCTTATATATATTTTTTCTTTTTCTCCAACATACTACCATGATTATGCACACAGTCTGCATGCACAATTCGATATATCTCTTCCCATACGGACTCTCCTCCCTTTTCCTTTCGCCACACCCGAAATCTTTTACTGAAAATCCAAAATTGCGATTCAACAGTCTAGAATAAATTTCCTTGAATTATTTTTTTACCATATTTCAATCTTATCTGTAATTTACATGCGGAGAGAAAAGATTGAATCGATCAAGGTCATCGGTAGTACACCGTTATTCTCATTATCACAGTTGTGTTGTAACGTAAGAGGAGACGTTCCTTGCCGTCGTTCTGCTCGTCGTCGCGATCGTTCACACATGTTCCCTCAAGTTTCATGTGATCGTGGAACGGAATGCGGAAGAAGGAGAACAGGGATTTGAACAAGAGCCGCTCAGTTCCCATTGTCGAACGCAGAGATTACACACGTGCGACACGTTATTAAGAGATTGTATATCCTGGCGTCCGGACCTTCGACTTCCTCTCGCTCTTTCTATTCGACCGCTCCTCGTCTCTCTCTCTTTCTCTATTATATTATACGCAATTATATAATATATTCATCACAGATATATATATATATATATTTATATCACTTATTCTTAGCAAACTCGTAGCGCGGTCGAGAAGAATGGAGAGAGAACGAATTATACGCACACAACATACAAACGAATATAGATATATAGTCACGTATTTACTTTTTGTCTTGCGATGTTCTGATTTCTGAGGGTTTGCGAAAAAAAAAATTACATGTTGCGAATTATGATAATTGCTTTTCAAAGACAGTGTCGTTGTAGAATACCAAAGTCCAACTCTCTCTCAAAGACGAGGCTCGCGTAAACGCTTGACCTCTCGATTGAGTACACATCGAAGAAAGTCGAAAAATAATTGCATACGTATTTGTATATGCAATTACTGATTAATTAGGATAAACAGATGTGTCGAATAATAAATTATGCGATGTATTCAAATTAAATGTATTGACAATTTATATGTATGGATGATGTAAGACTTCGTTCGACGTGTACTACGTGCATCACATGTTTGAAACGCGATGTAAGTATTTCGATCATTGTTAACAGAAAGCTATTCTACATTAAAAGGAAACTGCAAGATTCTAATGGGAGGTCAAAGACTATCCAAATCACGCTCTCCACTCGCGTTCGCCATCCGACGCGAAGAGAAAAAGAGGAGATGTGAAACGAGATGTTGAATGCATCTTCGTGCACTTCTCGTATATATATGTATAATTAAGTATATGTATATACGCGCGCGTACTGGCAGTCATATATATTCATACACACGTACACATTTTAATATCACGCATATGTAATATCGCTATGGGAGACAGCCAGTTTCAGCAAGTTAGTCGCTAATTACACGTGAAGGGGTAAACGTTTTCCTGTTATCGCGTTGATATTTCTCGATGTATAATCGGTGTCTTTATCGCAACAAGATTATGTCCGTAATCGCCGGGAAGGGTCAGTTACGCTAGAACACCGTTCGGTTGCTAGGAAGGAAGAGAGAAAAAGAAAAGAAACGAGAGTGAGACGGACGCGAAGTCGAAGAGATGATGAGCAGTGATAGCATCCGAAACTCGGCGACTCTTTCTACCCTTCTCCTCCTTCCGTCGAGCAGAAGCGAGAATGAAGCCTCGTATTATAATTTATCATCGGTATCAGTTTCGCTTCTATCGCAATGGATGCAGAGCGTGGAAATCGAGCCTACATTCTGGCAGAAATATCTTGTGACTTGTGTTACAGACGAGTTCTTTTAACATCGAGGCAAGGTAATGTAAAGATATGATACAGACAACAAGAAATTAGTTAAAACATGAAATGAGTATTTCAATATTATTTACACCACTCGCGATTTGTTAAAGATGAAATACGATACTGTTATGCTCGTTTCTTGTTGTCTAAATCTTTTGCAATTCGTTCTGCTTGAAAAGACTCGAGATTGGAGAGTCGAACGATGAAGGCTACAGACAGGTATCGTCTCTCCAACCTTATCTCTCTTCCGGAAAGTCCTCGAATGTTCAACGAGGGCTGGCTGGGTGAGACTCGGCGTGTGTATGTGCGTGCGTGTGTAATTAGAAATAGCAAGATGCGAAGATCATCATGATGCATCAGAGGGTAGTGTTGACTTTTGGATCTTGCGCAGTGAATCCTCAGATGCAACCATCTTCTCTTTTCATTCCTTCTCGCGAGTCCTTTTCTCCTTCAAGTACACTGTTCCTCCTCTTGTCCCTTTTTCTTGAATCTACTCTTCAGGGATGTTTTCTCTAATTTAACTTAATTAATCCTTATCCCAACTATCCCATCCTCTATTCAACAAATTGAACATTAACATCTTGTGTTCTTCTCATTTTCTAAATATTATAAATTTTCCAAAATAAACGTTATGTTTTTTTAATAATTCTGACAGTGACTTTACTCGGTTGGGAGAGACATCGTCATTATCAAAATCAATATTATCATCATCCTCAACATCACCACCATAATCATCAGCATTATCATCATCGTCATCATCATCATCGTCACCATCTCTATCTTTATTTTCAACGTCATTATCTCATCATCATCCATCATCATCATTATCATCAACAACGGCTTTCTTGGTACAAGAATTTCTTCAATCTTCTTTACTAGATCTTCTCCTTTTGTTAATCCATCATTAAGAATATGATTTACTTTTTTGAGAGCAAATCGTGCGCACGTTGGCGATCGCGAGAAGAGCAACGACGGTAGGTCCCTTCATTTCACTACGAGTTTGATCACCCGAATTCACACGATTTGTCCTTCATATCATGCTCTCGCTCCTTTTTTTCATACGAAAAGCTATAGTTATCCATCCAGCTACTTGTTATCCACTCACGCGAAAACCATTATCCTTCAACCATCCAATTCTCTCCACCTTTTCTTCCCTTTTACCCTTTTTCTCCCCGTCCCAAATTACGTTGTTCTATTTGTATTTATCATCAACCCATCGTAATTGTAAATTATAATTATTATAAACGTTTACACGAAATAATAAATTCTGATAAAATGTCTAAGAAAAAAAACCATAACCCACGGTTGTCTTGCTTTGCGACGACGATTGTCATCGTGCCTGAAGAGGCATTTGCATACACTCGATGATGTTTTACGATCTCGAGACAAAAGTCCAGATTACATAACATGCGGATTTCATCGCGAATCGTTTCAACGGATTCCTGCAATGTCGCTTATCAACATTGATGTCTCATTGGATTGGAATGACTGCCTTCTTTCGATCTCCACGATTCGTTACACTTGGAAGAGAATTATTTTGTATTTTTTTTTTTTAATATTATCTATGGAACAAATAATCTGAGTAAACGCTTGAAGCACATGTAACATTTTGATAATATCGTATATAAAAAAAAAAACGATTACTCATCAAGTTTTGTATGTACAAACTCTAAACGTCACGAACACGTTAATTGTGCTTATTGCATATATTTCTTAGAATCGCTTATTTCAATCTTATATCTGCAAGTTTTTTTTTATTTCGATTCCACAATATATTACATTTTATAAAATTTTTATCCTGCCGCTCATTTTCTTATTTTATTTCTTAATCATGATTTACGATATTAAATGACAGATGATTATCGTTTCTTTTGCGGCAGCTCGGGCGATGACAAAAATTGTAGTGCTCTGCATCGCCACTAAAAAAAAGAGAAAGAGAAAAGAAGGAAATAGAGTGCTAGGAGAGAATATTTGAGAATAAGGAAGACGTTTTGACATAGTTAAATTCTAGCAATATCGAAAAATTGAGAGCATGCAGGAGCAGAGACTTTTCATGTACTTAAGATGCAAAGGGATATTTATTATGATTGCTGTTATGAATATCATTGTGCTAGATGTGTATCTCCAGCTCTTTCACACACCCTTCGCCCTGCCGTACCCTGCCACCCTTCCTCTGTCCTTCATTTTTCTTGTCGATGGTATATCTACACATGTACTTGTATACGCGACTTACGCATTATGTATACATACATATATTATATATACATATGCATACACCAGAGAGGAGACACGATAAGAAAAAGAAGAAATATGACGCGAGATACATATATGTATATGTACGCGTGCCTTTTCCGACAAGAAAGGCCTACCTACGATTAATCATGCTAAATTTTTTGCACAATTTATACGTGTAGCCGATACGAAGTACGAGATACGGTTTTTTGCTAACGAGAGTAGCGAATTACCACTTAAATGTGCGAGTGACAAGACGCGAAGTGATCCGCGCGGTGGTGTGTAGGAGTTAAATTCGCGAGAGGAGAAAAAAGAAACAAGGAGAAAAATTTCAAATCAAGCGCGCGGGTGCGAGCGTCGTTCTTAAGCGACTTGTTCGCTTGCGGAATCGCAGCCACTTGTCGCAAGACTAGATAGAGAGAAGTGTAGAGCCAGGCGAATCTCAACCTCATGGGTCGCGCGACACTTCGACAGCACCTCTTGTACAGTACAGGTCATTTCAGCAATATTGCAACAATATTACATCTCAATAAGCGAAAGCTTTTTGGAACATTTCAGTAACATTGCAGCAACGTCGTTGAAAATTGCTGAAATATTCCAAAATGTTTTTTGGTTATTAAGATTGCAATATTCCAACAATATAGCAACGTTGCTGCAATATTATTGAAATATGGCAACAATATTACTGCAAGCTTTTGTGCTGTATGAGCGGAAGTCGGTATGAATGGATGACCAAGAATTGAAATTCGGAAAAAAGCTCAAATCATCTCTGAGAAAGAGAGAGAGAGAGGAGAAAGGAGGAGGAAAAGAAACAGAGAGACCTCTCGTCCAAGACGGGGTTGAGAGTCTTCGCGTTAGGTGTAGAATACCATTTTCTTGCGGTAGACGAGCTTCCGCTCGTAGACATTTCCAGGGACACTGGGGCGGCAAAATCCGAAGGAAATTCGCAATCTCCGATCGTACAACTTTGCGTTAACCAAATCTGAAGACTTTTTATTAGAGAAATGTTTATGATTTAAACAAGAAGTCAAAAATTACTCATTTTTATTCGCATGGAAGCTTACATGGAATAAACGGTAGATAGCAAAAATACTTTTTGCTGAAGTATTTAAAAAAAAATTTAGCTAGAAGATCATTTTGTTAGATGCTATCAAAATAATTATGTAAGATGCTTAAGATAGTCGTTAGAATGTCAAAACTTTTTGCAGCATTACTCATCTTGAGTTTTCTATACGTAATTATTTTTATAATTCAACAAAATTATATTTAAATCTAGTAATTTTAGATACATCAGCAATATCGTTTTCGGCGTATGTCTTCATTTTATTCTGTTTGATTTTTAATCTAGACAACACAAAGTCTCATCTGGATACAATACGATTTATATATTTTTACAATGTAGATTGACTTTTAATATATTTTTTTTAAATATAATTAACTTTAACTTATTTCTTTCTGGTTCTAAGAATTAGAAAAGAATAAATAGTAAGTTAAACCGAGATTAAAGGGTTACGCCATCTTGGAGGTTTGAAAAAATTGAATTTTTTGCTTAAATCGATAATTTGCAATTCCAAAAATATAATTCTAATAGTTTTTAATTAATTTTAATTAAAAATTTCAATGATCTTATGTTACAAGAATCGATTTAGTGAAACGCGTCACCGAATCGCTATTTGATGGAAAAAGAAACAGAGTGTAATAAGCACGTCACGAAAAAGAGCCTAGAGGCTCAGAAATTAATAAAAGAAAAGAGGCAAATGAGTCAAACGAACTCTTGGAAGGACAGTTGTATGATCCAGGAATAGAAGACTAAAGATAAAATTGAGATTTTATTGCTTTATGAACAAAAAGTACTAAAACTCTCAAAATGGTTTTTTTCAAAGTGTTGTGCATAATTTTTTCATCCGATTCACTTGAAATTTGGAGTGAATACTCGCTCTTATATATAATCTAAAGAAGTACATAGGATTTTTGCGATATTGAATTATATAAAAATTAGGCGAAAAAACAACTTTTCAAATATTCACCATTTTGTCAGAAATCAATATTTTTGAAAAAACTCCTGTGTATTTCTTTAGTTTTTAGTATGTAGATGATAAAAACATTTGGTATTTTGTTCCACGACAAATTGTGTAGAAATTTTGAACAACACCATGGAGAGATTTGTGGATAATAAAGATGTTTGACGATACGGCTATATAGGGTCGCCATTTTGTAAATACGAATTTTTTTTGAAGAATGAAGGAGTAAATGAAAAAATTATTTATTGGCTTTATTATATGCATCTTCCAGTGTATAAAAAAATTTTTTTATACACTGGAAGATGCATATAATAAAGCCAATAAATAATTTTTTATTCATACACACTCCTTCATTAAAAAAAGATTCCAAGCAATACACATCATTTTTAAGCTGCGAAGGTGGCATAACCCTTAAAGTTAATCTATATTGATAGAATTGGTCATTAAAAGGATGTATGGTATTAAAAACTTTTAATAAATTAAATCATTTTAATTTTAGACTTCGCGCGCGCGCGTGTTGCTGTATTGTGACTCTTGCATTGCATCGCCTTGGCGCTTTGATATATTGCATCAGATCTATACGTTTGATGCAACATTGCGTCAATTCGCTTTTGATTTTCGTCGATCGAACGCCGAGAAGGAAAATCCTTCTCTGTAACGGCAATCAATAGATTTTTAATTCTTTTTAAATAATTCGTCTATATATGAAATAATTCCTTTTTTTTGCTCCATGACATGACTTGTATACGGCCTTCGATTTTGTCGCCGCGCGAACCTCGCTAGAACGAAGGTTTTCCTCGGTTTTGCTCTTCTACGACTGTAGCCTGTTTTTAGCTGTCGTCCTAAAAACATCCTCGCCCCTCACCTACTCCCCCCGCCCCTCCCTCATTCGATATAGATCAATACCGTTTCATTCGAATATAATACACGTTAAATGGATTAACAAAGAAACAAGACGACGCTGATACTTGGCGGGGTGATGTTTGTAAATAAAAACTGTAAAAGCGACGAAAACGGTATAGTCATTTCACCCATATCAATCAAACGCGGATTTGGATCTTGAAATCCTCGCTTATACATCTTGCATCGTCAATTGCACATTAAAAACTACAAAATTATTCTAATAAAATCCCATGCTAATATTGCATTTTTATAGCAGAATATGTTGCTCTGTTACTTTAAAAGTAACAATTTAAATTGACTTTCGAGTTATTACTATGAATGAATTAAATATTACTATATTCAATCCAAAAGTGACCTACTTATTTAATAAAAAAATCGTTAAAATTATCACAACTCATTAAGAGTAATTTTGTTTTAATTATCGCAACTCTCAAAAAGAGAGTGGTTTTTTAAGGATTATTTGTGCGAAAATGACTGATATTTAATTGATTTGGTTAAAAATAATTTTTTTACCAATATTGATTAAATGTATAATTTTCTATCAAGTTGAAAAATAATTTTTCTTCTTTTCTGAGAAACTTAATTATTTGAGCTGTGTCATTTTTTATTAAATAAGAGCGATATATTATCAATTTTTATAAGCTTAATTGTCTTCGGCTATTTTTAGAGTGGATTTGCTATTAAAAATAGAATTATTCTGTCTTTTTAGTTTAAATTCTTCTTTAAAATTTTTAGAATGGAATCTTTCATTGAAAAATGAAAATTGAGTCTTTAGAGTAAGATTCACTCTAACAATTTTAAGTACATATGGGAACATCTCTGATATTAGCTATACTGTTGCTCCAATCAATTCACAGATGACTTCGATATTTCAAAGATCACTGGCTAAAATTTGTCCAAAAATCCTGGATCTTAAAATATCCAGACTGGGTATACTCTAACGAGTCGTTTTCTCATGATGATTCATTATTCTTTCTGTATAGTGAAAACTGACACACGAATTGCGTCGTGGCAATTCGCGAGCAATCTCTGTGGATTTTGACACGCCTGCGTTCATGAACGCTTCAGGTACAAATATCACAGATCTTTGTACCCGCTAGACTTTGCTCAGACAATCACGCGTATGTAAGGCTGATAGTTCATGTGTCGTACGACAAATTTTTTAAACGTGTCGATTGCAGGCCAAGATAGAAAATTTTTATAGACTCGAGAATTTCTCTACATTAAATACGACACAAAAATATACTTGAAAATTTGTTGTATTAATGAAAATTTTTGAGAACTTTTAGGAATGGGAACATCATTCAAAAATATTAAGAAAATATATATCTTTTCTTAAAATTTTATACATTATACATAAATTTTCAAACATTCTAAAAGATTAAAAAATTTTCAATTTCCTATAATTTCTGAAAAAGTATTTTAAACTCTCTCTCTCTCTCTCTCTCTCTCTCTCTCTCTCTCTCTCTCTCTCTCTCTCTCTCTCTCTTTCTCTCTCTCTCAGATTTTTTAAAATTTTATCAGAAAAAAAATTGTAAGATAAATGTTTTTAATGTTAAATAATTTGTGAATTATATATATGAAAAATTCTAAGAAAAGATGTAGACTTTCTTAATATTTCTGAAAAATGTTCTGTTTTATATAAAAATTCTGTGAAAAATTGTCATCAAAGGACTGCACACGAAGTGTCAGTCTAAGACTGATACTTCATATGTCAAACAACAAAGCTTTTCAAACCTATTGATTGACTGCAGGATAGAAAAATTTCTGAGTTCCTAGAAATTCTCTATTTCGTTAATCAATACGCTTAAAAGATTTCTTGTACGATAAATGGAATATTAGTCTTAAGCTTATGTCACACTACGCATTGGAGATTGAGGATTGCGAATTGGAGATTAGAATTCAGTCAATCAGATTGAAATTAAAATTATCTGACTGGTTCGGACTTCTAATCTATGATTCGCGATCCTTAATCTCCAATGCGTAATGTGACTGAAGCTTTAGGCTGTTTCTCGTCAACGTCGTCAACGAGCGTTATATCAGTTGGCAATCGTCTTTCCGACCTGAAAGGCGCGCTCGCTATTTAAGCTGATCCTTACGTTCCAGTCGTGGAAGTGGAACGTCGATGAGAATCAACTGCAATAATAAGAGGCGGCTATAGAAGTATTTCTCGTGCAGATTCGGCGAAGCAATATCATAAAGTTGTTCGAGGAAGTTACGCTAATCTTAATAATAATAATATGAAACAAAATATACAATGATAGTGAAAATATAATTATCTTCGAGACTCGTATGGATAGACACAGTTTAATTGCACGTTCGACCGAACACGTTTGACTATTGTTTAGAGTTTAAGCAGTTTTAAGTATTATATTTTAATTTTTAAGTGTTATTTACATTCCGATTTACGAAAATGGACGATTATCAAGATTACCATCAGGTAAGTTTATCTGTACATATATTTTTTATTTAAAGTAAGTTATTAATTTTTTTAATAAAGCAAAAGGAACTGAGAAACAGATGAATGTAATAGAGATTAGTCAGAGAGAACGATGTCACCTATTTTCATTTTCTCTCCTATTTTAATCGATCTTCATAATATTCAGTCAAAATCGTAATCAAAAAATTTATATCTTTCATTTTGATATCGATGGCGATTACAATAAGCATTTGTTTTGAACGTGTATGAAAATTTATCTCAGCCTTCATCTCTGCGCTACTATGCGAACAAATATGTGGCTATCAGTAAATATCCGTTATCGCGTTAATATAGGTATGGTTTCGCGTTAATGGTTATTGTCGCATATGTGAAATTCCTATAAAATTATTATAAAAACGTGCTCTATATGTAATACGAAGAAAATGTTTGATATTTATGATTGTTATGTAGCAAAATAATTAGGGGTGGTAATTCTATTTTTATAATCAAATTGTTATATTTATAATTCCACATTTCAAAAAAATGCGTAATTAGCGTAAAAAATAATTGCAAAACTCAGGTAGCATGGAACATTCCAATAATATGGTAACAATGTGTCACTTGGAACATTTCAGCAGTTATAGCCACGTTGCAATGTTGCTGCGATATTGCTAAGAAATTCCATATATTACTTCGGTAATCATTTTCAGTATCTATGTTTCTTTTTGCATATATATTATATTTATACTGTATAATTATATTTTTAACATTTATAATTATTATATATAACTGTTTAATATTTTATAATTATATTTTATAATATAGAATTAGAAATATAATGATAGTATTACAGTGTTACATCAATAGTGCCACTAAAAATGAATCTGAGTACTTTATCATTCAATTATAGTCACAAACAAATTTCTTTTTCTTAGTGCACACATATACATTTATAGATTCTTTATATATCTACCTGGCCCATTCTACCATTTTCGAAAGATCCTTCGCAGATAAAATCCAAAATAAAATCTTCCCTCAAGAAACGGGAGAAATCAATTTTTGCCATTTACATATTTTTTCGAGATATTTCAAGAGACGCGCTCGCGAGTCTCTTTCGGCGCACTTCAGTTCGCTCCAATGTTCGAATCTTCCGCGTCGCGCGCGATTGGTCCGAATTTCGGCGACGGCGCCGACGGTAGTGGGGGGGTGGCGCGCGGCCAGCCAAAGGTCACCTTCAGTCGGCCGAACGTGGCGCGGTGGTGACGGATGTCTGTTAGAGGAGTGTCAGCAACAGAGGAACATCGTCGACGTCGCGATTGTCAATCGTGTTTCTCTGGTGAGTTAAACCTCTCGTCGTCGACGATCGCGAGCATTGATCGGTCGTCGATTTTCGAACGCGCAGCAGCGCACGCTGACACCCGTTGTCGTTGCGTCGTCGTCGTCGCGACGCCTGACACCTGCACGCGGCTGTCAATTGATCGGTCAAAGTGCGCGCCTCGTCGACTCGCTTAGAATCCAAATCGCGTCAGGCGACATCGCCACCGAACTGATAAGTTGACGGATTTTTCGTAAAGTTCTAGTGACATTCACTCGCTGTTTGATTCTTCTTTTAGGTGAGCCGAGGTTACTTTTAGGTTAAGCTCCCACTGATTAATAAGCAGGCGCGATTACTCGCTTACGAGAACGACAGCTAACGATTCACGTGACGCTTGTAAATATAGCGTGGACAAAGCGACATAGCATTTCAATGAGCGCTGAGCAACTCGATGAACAATTATTGCGTAAGAGATATGGAATCATGAATTTTGGATGGAGTCAAACGAATCTTGATTGTTTCTTTTAACGATCGATTCTCATTATTCGGTACCTTTGGCAGTGTTCTAATAAGGCTCATTTCTACAACAATATAGATTAATTTTAATCTTGAGGTTTGTTTTTATATTGCTGGGTTCCACTAAAATTTACTTTCTCAGTGGTTATATATTAAACATATGCTATTAATATTTATAATTTTATGCATCAAGCATATATCTTTTAAATTTATAGTTTTATGTATCAAAAATTATATATTTATAGTTTTATATACCAAAATATAATTGGCACTAAAAATGACTATTTCACTTGAATCCTTCGTCTGCAATCTGAGTCCTTTTTTGCATAAGCAAAGAATAAAGAATTTCATTCTCAAATTTAGGAAAACTATTTGGTAATGTAAAAATTATTGATATAAAAAGTGTTTGGTGATGTGACAGAAATATTGAAGAGAAACGTTGAACTTTTCCATGCGTTTTTAAAAATCTAGAGTAGTAAAACATTTTTACTACTCTGACTGGATGGAGGCAGTAAAGATATGATTGCAAACGGAGAATTAAACATACAGTGTAAACTTGTTGAATTGTAGAAAATATTTTTAATTTGATTTATTCTTTTTTTTCTAATTTTTTGAGCTGGAAGAAGATAAATTAAACCGAGATTACTATTAATCTGCATAGGTATTATTTACTCAGGCATTGATATTATAATAGAAGTACATAAGAGAGTAAGAAATCTACTTGTCATTGATCAATCCATCCATCGTATGCACCGAGCATATAGTATATCAATGACACAATTGCATCTTCCACGCATTGTTTATCGCTATCGCGCGTCGTAGATTTATTAGGAGGAAACTCGCGGGATCGGAGCAACGTCCTCGAGATTCGCTCCGATTCGAATTCCATCTGAGAAAAAAATTGTTTATTCGATTGAATTGTTAATTTTTTTTTATTAAATTTAGTTATTTTTATTTCTTTTGTTGGAGAACGTATTTAAGTTAAATATGTACCTATAATATGTTATAAATTACAATTATAATTATATATTTAACTTAAATACATACATTCAAATAAAATATAATATATTTAATTAAACAATTTTTCTATTTAAATATGTACATTCTTCGAAAGAAAAGTAAAGTCGAATTTGATCAAATGAGCAATTTTTTATTTCAGTGTACTGAATTCTACTATTGACGATTCTATTCTTTTTTTTTTTAAGACAGGAAATTATGAAAATCCCTCACGTCGAACATATAAATTAAAACGTCTTGTTATGCGACGAGCCAGACGAAAAAAGCTCTCCGGCTGACGACCAGTGATAACTTTGCTGTTTATGAATTGTTGATGCTGCTGTTTCTCTCGTTTTGAAACACAGCCAAATTTCGTCCGCACACGTGTCATTTAATTTTAAAACGCGGTACTCGCATGTCGTAACACGTCAGTTCCGACAGCTTTTATCCGGATTTTTCCACGATGAGCATCACACTGAGACTGAGGTTCTTTCAGTGTTCAATGACGGAACTCTTTCAAACCTACCAATCCTTTTACATTCTCCTCTCTTTGCCAATTAAAATACTATACTCATGTATAATGTATTTGTTTCCTTTACGAATTGTATGTATTTCTTGTATAAGGCCTTGATTACAAATATAAAGCACACCCACAAATTGGAGTAACGTTCTATATGTAACGAAAAAATTAAGAATAAATAAAAAAAAATACTTTTATTGAGAAATAATATTTATTTTTATAATAATTTTAATATTTTGTTAATTTCCTGTGATTTTCCTTACCGCCTTTTTCAAAATGATGTAATAAATTGAAAATGATTCATAGTTAAAGTTATATTAATTAGAATTTGCATAAATTAGAGTACATTAATTACACTAAATTGGAGTACAATAAATTCAATTGATCGATTTTTATATAATGATTTATTTGTGATGGGTGACTAGCGCAAAAATATTCCGCGGCAGACTTCATTGTTTTTTTTTATTACGAAATGAACTTGTAGAAAAGTTGTGATACGTATATATCTCGAATTGATTGAAATTAGGTTAAAACTTGGATTAATGTAAAAATTATCGTGCAGAGAAAAATGTCTACGAGTCAAAAAGCCGTTCGATGTCGTTGTGCAAATGCAATTTATTCGGGAAGCGATAGCGATCTGGACGACAATCCAGATACACGAGAGAATACTACAGAAATACGACATGTAGATGCAAAAAGGAGTTTAACAAATTCTAGAATTGGATCTTCTGTGATATCCAGAAGCTCCTCACTAAAGTCTATCGCCGTTGAGATATTGAAGAAAATCGATCCTGATAAATCGAGCAAGATCAGCATGCAAAATTTAAAGCTCTCTTTATTGTTTCCAGAGGCAAGCCTGCGCCCGTTAATAATATGTCATGAAATTTCTCTTTTCCTTTTCCCATATAAAAATTTATGCATAAATGTTAGAAAATGTTAGAAAATTTACTTCTGGACACAGATGTTTTGGGGGCACACTTTCGAATCAATTGAACAATTACCAACTGGCTCTTCGTTTGAGATCAGTTTTGATGTGACCGAGGAAGAATACGCTAGGAGCCTGCGTTTCCCGCGGTTTATGAGAAAAGTTATGACCCTGTCTCTTTATCGATACTTTATTACTAAATATTTTATACATCAATATTATAATTTCTTACTCAACAATATAAATGTAATATAACTGTTGTACGTAACAGTTAGATTGCTCAGAAAATTATAACATTGTAATCATCTTACTGTTACTTGTTTCCCAATCAGCACAATAATTTTAAAATATATTTTTAATATTTAATATTAACAGTATAAAATAAATGTTAAAAATATATATTTTTTTTTTAAACATTGTTTACTGATTAGGTTACTGAGTAAAATATAGAAATTGTTACATCATTAGCACGTTCGGTAAACAAGGGAGGGAGATTCGAAAAGAAATGGCGAGAGCATAGTTTCCGAGAAATTAACTTCGAATTTTTGTATTACAGAGTTATAAGGAATATTGCGATACAGTCATGGCCGAAGACGCGCCAGCTCAGAGGTTTATCAAACCTGGGAGTCACAAGGGCAAAGGCATCGCCGTGTTCACCAGTGGAGGCGACTCTCAAGGTATATCAGCATAAATGTATAAATTGCATGTATCTTGCGTGTATCTTGAAATAAACGTGATCAAACAAAATAGAGCCTTATTATTACTTTTTATTTTTAAACCTGATCAACTTTTGATATTTTTTTGTCTTTTAGGAATGAATGCCGCCGTACGAGCAGTCGTAAGGATGGGCATTTACCTCGGGTGCAGGGTGTATTTTATTAGGGAAGGTTACCAAGGCATGGTGGATGGCGGGAAAAATATCGAGGAAGCTACATGGTCATCCGTATCTTGTATTATTCACAGAGTATGCATTACAGGATTAAAAATGTTGCGTTATTCGTTCGTATATTATTAACGTCTAATACTCTTTGTCTCTTCAGGGTGGTACAGTAATCGGTTCCGCTCGATGCCAAGAATTCAGGGATCGTCCCGGTCGTCGGAAAGCCGCTAAGAACTTGGTTAATCTGGGAATAACTAATTTAGTGGTGATCGGTGGGGACGGCTCTCTTACAGGCGCTAATCTCTTCAAGGAAGAATGGCCCGCACTTCTGAAGGAGCTCGTCGAATCTGGTAAATAGAGAACGTTTTAGGAAACTGTCGCTTAATCTCGACAATCTATCGTATGTGCTCAAAGACTAATACATTATTTTTCATTAGGTGATATAACTGCTGAACAGAGTGAGAAATACAAGCAGCTGCATATTGTCGGTCTAGTAGGTTCCATTGATAACGATTTTTGCGGTACGGATATGACGATTGGTACCGATTCCGCGTTGCACCGTATCATTGAGAGTATCGATGCTATAGTTAGCACAGCTTACTCTCATCAAAGAACGTTTATAATGGAAGTCATGGGTCGTCACTGCGGGTAAGTGCAGAATATTTTTATATCGCGAGAATGATTTAAGGTTTACATTGGTAAAACGATTTCATATATTATCATTAGTTTCCAAAAATAGAGAGAAGTCATCCGTAGTTAATTACAATTTAGTATACGAGATTTAGCGTATATGTCATTACGCCGAATTGATGTTGACTGTAGAAATGAAACATAGATAAATGAGCGATTTTCGATTAGGTATCTGGCTATTGTGGGCGCTTTAGCTGCGGAGGCAGACTATGTTTTCTTCCCAGAATGTCCGCCTCCTGTCGACTGGCCTGAAAAATTATGTAAAAAATTGGAGCAGGCACGTCTGATAGACTTTCTCAAATTTTAAAGATTGCATTGCTAATTTTTACTAACTTAACTAAACGTGAGGAATGAGTTTTTATGTATATGTCAGTTTTTTAAGTTGCTAAATGTTCTGATTTGATATTCGATCATACAACATCCTGAGTGTATATACCTCTAAACAGTGACGTAAAGAGGAATGTGAACGAAAAACGTATTTACATTTTATTGCACATTAATTAATATAGAGTCAATATATAGTGATATGTCCGATGATACTGGAGATAATTAGATGACAGAGCCTTTCAGGTACCTGACATTAGCGTCAAGTTTGTCCACTGAAGCCACCTATTGCTTTATTCCTGAGTCTCCGACAAGTGGTGACTGGGTCGAGGAGCTATGCCAAGGTCTGCGACAGGCACGTTTCTCAACCAGTCGTTACTTTAAATTATTATTTAATGTCCGGAATAAGCAATTTTTAATCAGCAATTTAAAATTTAAAGATATATGAGGAAGTCCGAATGCTTTTGTTTTTTGTACTTTTAAATGCGGTGTATTACGTACATGTAAAATTTTTTTATTTTTTAACATTCATCCCGTTAGTATTTACGCAAAAATTTATCGCAGATTAGTTTCTACTTACATTTTTCGATTAAGCAAAACTTTATGAATTTATAATCAAATTTGATCATGATTGATTAATGACGCGCAGCATTATTTTATATCTTTACATATTGCATTGAAGCAGAATTTTAGTTAGGTTTACAATATACCATTACAGTTATCTGGCTCTGGTGGCAGCTATATGTTGTGAGGCTGATTATGTTTTCATCCCAGAATGGCCACCCGAGCAGGAATGGCCCAACAAGCTGTGCAAAAAGTTGTTGCAGGTTCGATAATATTTTTTTTTAATTTTTTAAAACAAGTGTTTTTAATATTCCTGATTTAATCAACCTGAGCAACACACATTGCTTCCAGCAATTCACATTTTATTTCTTTAACATCGCAATTTGTTATAATTATTTTAATTGCTTATTCTGATTTGAATATTTTTAATGACGAAGTATTTGCGATATGCTTTGAAGGCACTTTCCTCTCTTCGTATAGGAAAGAAATATCATTCACTTAAATGTGCATGCTATACTATTGCATCGTATATGTGTATGCAACATTATTCTAATATTAAAAAAAAATGCTGCTAATTCAAAGATCTACATTTTTAATGCTTTTTAACATCTTTTTTTTATTATTATTAATTTATGTAATCATTTATTGCATCGTTATTATGCTGTTATCTTTAATTTTCTTCTCTATTCTTTTACAGTCTGCTTTTCAATCTGTTCGAGCAAAATTTTAACTTTGATGTACGGGAGATTTTTGTTATTATACAACTTTCTTTTCAGGAAAGACTTACTGGTCAACGGCTTAATATTATTATTGTAGCCGAGGGAGCTGTCGACAGAAATGGCGATCCGATCACTGCTGAAAAAGTGCACAAAGTCGTCGTAGACAAATTGCAACAGGATACAAGAATCACCGTTCTGGGCCATGTACAAAGAGGTGGTAATCCTTCAGCCTTCGATAGAGTTTTGGTAAGATGTCGCACAATTTTTAGAATTAGCTTATAATTTTTTAATATACAAGTTGGATCTTTCTCATCAAACAATTTACACGCGGCGTTAGCCCGCAAATAATTAATTATTAAATTACCAAATTAAAATGTTTTTATCTTTTCCTTTATATATACAATATTATAAAATACAATGTCCGATTTTTGAATGATGAATGTGCGTTATAGGGATGCCGGATGGGAGCTGAAGCTGTGATGGCTTTAATGGAGGCAACACCCGATACGGAAGCCTGCGTTGTCACATTAGACGGTAATCAAGCTGTGAGGTTACCACTTATGGAATGTGTTCGTCGTACGAAAGCCGTAGCGCAGGCTATGACTGACAAAAATTGGGACCTTGCTGTTCAGCTTCGAGGAAAGTGAGTGAATAAAACATTCATTCATTATAGTATGTCGCAATACATAAAATATTAAGATAAATACTTATTTATCTTTTCCAGGGGCTTTGCACGCAACTTAGAAACGTACAAAATGCTGACTCGTTTGAAAGCACCACACCTGATAGATGGTGCTAACAGGGTACAATCATTTTCTACTTACAACTAATAATAAGTATTATTCTGACCCGAAAAGCTCTGTTCTGTAGCACGGTATTAATATAGCATTAATATCGAAGAAGTAGATAGAAATATATCGCGAGAATTTTGGGTCTCTAACATATAAAATAATAATGAACAATGCATAGATTACTATATATATTATTTGATACTGCTTCAGGAAGTTAATGGCCGCGCATTACCAAAGGTAAATGAGTTAAAACCTATAAGCGTATATTCTTCTCAGTCTTTGTACATAGTACCGAGCGTAATACATAGTCCCTAACGATAGCACATTTTTCCACCCCTAGCAATACACTTTATGCGGACAAGTGAGTTAACCCTTTTAAGTAGAGAATGTGTACCTCGTATTAGAAATATATATCATTTACCGTACTTCATGATCATCCTCTCGCAGGCAGATGGAACAGAAATTGTGCGCTATTTAATGTGCGATTTCATATATAAAATCTTTCAGCTTCACGTGCACGTTGCATGATTGACGTGTCGCTTTTCATCTGGTAATATGCGATTTTATTGTTTTAGGATAATTATACATTGGCAGTCATGCATATAGGATCGCCGTCCTGCGGCATGAACGCGGCAGTTCGTTCCTTTGTGAGGAATTGTATCTATCGAGGCGACAAGGTATAATACATATCGAAAAATTTTGAATATCCCGTACCTTCGTTATACTCAATTCCATTGATTTGTAGGTATATGGTATTTGCGACGGAGTGCTTGGCCTAATAGCTGGTAGATTGAAGTTAATGGACTGGCCATCTGTTACCGGCTGGGTTTCAGAGGGTGGTGCAAAATTGGGAACAAAGCGTGCACCGCCCACGGAGGATCAATTACCCCAAGTTGCTCAAAGACTCAAAGAATATGGAATACAAGCGTTGCTCATCATAGGTGGATTCGAGGTAACGAATCTTGCACGTTGAATCTGTCCAAAGATCAATGTCGATATAAAAACATATTTTTATTTCCAGGGTTATCAGACCGGTCTCACATTTTTCAAGGCGAGGGATAAATACGAGGAGTTTAAAATTCCCATCGCTATGATTCCTGCAACTATTAGTAACAATGTGCCAGGTACTGAGTTTTCATTGGGCTGTGACACGGCTTTAAATGAAATTACAGAGGTGAGCTCTATGATGTTGGTAGATTTAACTTGGATAGGCCTTCTACAATAAGCCATAAGTCATAAATCAGAAATAAGAAACTAAAAATTATGATAGGTCCACATTTCTAGCTTATGACTTATAATTTGACCTATGGCTTATTGTAGAAGGCCCAGGAGATTTAAAGCTTAGTAGCATATTAATTAATTTGTTCGTTAGATCTGTGATCGCATTCGACAGTCGGCGCAAGGTACTAAACGTCGCGTATTTATCATCGAGACGATGGGTGGTTTCTGTGGGTACCTAGCGACCGTCGCTGGTCTAGCCGGTGGTGCCGATGCAGCGTATATCTATGAGGAGAAATTTAATATCAAGGATTTGAATCAAGATGTTATCGCGATGGCGGCAAAAATGTCAGAAGGTGTTGAGAGGGGACTCATTATCAGAAATGAAAATGCTAATGAAAATTACAATACAGAATTTACATTTAGACTTTTCAGCGAAGAAGGAAAAGGTCTATTTAGTTGTAGAAGAAACATACTCGGTACACATTTTTTATACGCTACTCTTTTAAGCAGTCTTCTAATATCTCATTTTATATGCAATTAATTTTTATTGTCACTATACTTTCTATTTTAGGTCACATGCAACAAGGAGGCTCACCGACGCCTTTCGATCGTAATTTGGGAACAAAAATGGGCTCTAAGGCAGTGGAATGGTTCAGTGACAAATTGAGAAAATGCACCAGCCCCGATGGTAAAACGTTCACTACGGCAGCGGACAGTGCGGTGATGCTTGGTATTGTCAGACGTCAGTATAGATATACGCCATTTACGGAACTTATTGAAGTTACTGACTTTGAGTGCGTACCTTATTGAACTTCCTAATCGTGTTAATTTCGTGTATGCATGCTAATATAATACTTTATAAAATTTGTTAGACATCGCATTCCGACGTATCAATGGTGGATGAAGCTACGTCCATTACTAAAGGTATTGGCGAAGCATGAATCGACATATGAAGAGGAGGGTCTTTACATAACCGTCGAAGAAATGGATGAACAGAAGGATCCGCCTCTCGTATAAACTGTGAGATCAATCTCCTAAAGAGCACCGCAGTAGAAAACATAAAATGGATGTTGCTAATCGTGTGAATAGTAGGTGCCGATTATTAAAAAGTATCGCAGTATTGTATAAATTATATTATGATAATTTTATTCATGCTCGACGAGAAACGGATCTTATATATGTGTATTGAATTATTGTATCTGAAAAATTTAATTGTGTATATTAGTAATCATTATTTATTTAAATAATTCTCTACGCGAATTTTAATAATGTACATAATTCGGGCAACTAACAGATGTCATTGAGAATATAAATAAGGGATACATTCTTTTATTTTTTTTCGGATGCCTTGTTCGTATCTTGAGCGAGCTCAGGTAAGAAATAGGTACAAAAGTAGTACCTGAAGCACAAGGGTATAAGTAATACCTTAATAATTAATGTGTAATACCTATCAGTGCAATTTGCTGATGAAGGCGATATTCTTCATTAGCGATGAAACACGAAGTACGGTATTGTTACAGTATCTTATAGTAATGTTAAATTCGCATTACGTACATTGATGTATAGTATTGAAGAAATTAGAATCGGTATATGCGAAATTTAGTATAGTGAGATGTACCAAGTTCAAGCGCTAAAAAATAATGAGGCAGTAAATCATTTTTACGAAATATTGTAGAAACACATAACTAAATTGGAGACGTGCAAAACTTATATTGGATATGCTATACTCTAATCTAAAACACAATTTTGGCACATATATTTAATTACCATGAATTCAGTAACAAAATAATTCACGAAACGTTTATTAGCGTCATTAGCAAATAATGATATTATTTGTGCATTTTTGATGCTTTGGACATTACGAATACTTTGTAAGTTAAAGACTAACAGCCTCAAATCTTATTTTGATATTCGTTCGCTTAATTGTTTAATGTAACAAAGTTTAGCGGGACGCTTGATTATAATTTTTCAGTTATAGTACGGATCGAGAAGTAAATCAGATTGAGAGAAATTATAAGAGTTTCACAGATTAAACATTCTGAATCGTATTTGTGGTCTACTAAGGCATAGGATTAAAAATTAATGCGGTATTTTGCGTCGGTGAAAGTATTTATCTTTCGGTTTAGCGTTACTCGAAGCTATAAAAGGCTATTGGAGAATATACCTGTCTACCTCAAAACATAATTTTGCAACGGTGAAACGAACGACTCATAGGAAAAAATTGACCTGAGTCGGTGCGTTAGTTGCACATAACATTAAAAAAAATTTTGCTAAAATTTAAGGCTTGTGACCACAAAAAGTATTTAGATTTAATTCTTTTTCTCTTACTCTATCTATCTGCCTTTCTCTCTCTCTTTCTCTCTCCCTATCTCTATCTCTTTCTCTATATATATATACTTATATATTTAACTTTTGAGGAAGTCGTTCAAGTATTAATCTCGTAATTGTTTTCGGCGTATAATATAGCGTTCGTCGTGTTCTTATGAAGATTTTAGAACCAGATAATTCTGGTAAAATTATGTCTTGTGCAAACTCTTACTCGTGTTCGTGTGAGTTCATTTAAGTGTCAGAATAAAATTGCCGACTTAAACGCGTGATTTAAACGCGTAAGGAATACATATAAGGCAGAGAAACTTTCTGTGCGATAGCGTATACTACATTTTTTTCAACGTAGTTAACACACACTTAAGAATTGTGGAGCGCTTAATAATTTTCATTCGAATGCTAATTAGCATTCGCAACACTACGTTTAAGATTGGCTTAGTAAGTAGCGATTAATGCATGCATGAAAATGAGAATGGTAAAATTTCGAAAGTACAATGATGTGCGCATATGTTACGGTTTACTCAAGTTAGAGTAACAACGTAAAAAAATATATATGTGTATACATAAAAATTATTCTACACATCGCCTGTTTGAAGCCGTTCCGAAGTATTATGTCTACTAGAACACAAAATAGTTCTTGTTGAAAAGCAACAGAATAATACCGCTAATGACACTTGTTTAAACGATCACACAAAGAGAAATCTTGTTTATTTAATATCTTATATAATATCTTACTAACAAGGGGAGGGCGCGAGGTGTTACTCACCGATTTTAAAAAGGCTTATGTATGTTAAAGTACTCTAGTAATAAAGTACTTTGGCAAAGGGATACGACCCAACTCTCAGCCGTTTTCGAGAAAAACCGGTTTAAAATTTACAGTTCCGTATATACCGGTCGCGTTAAACCCATTGTCGAGAAGGTGGCTGAGAGTTGGGTCGTATCCCTTTGCCAAAAGTACTCTATTACTAGAGTACTTTAACATACATAAGGCTTTTTAAAATCGATGAGTAACATCTCGCGCCCTCCCCTTGTAAGAAGCTAAATTGAAACAAAATGCAATTATACGGGAGATACTAAGGCTCTCGTTAATTATCTGTGCATAACATCATAATTCGTAATTATAATCTATATCAGAATTATATTTTTCATATATTTCGATAAGTTTTTATTTTGAGACAAGTGTACATTATAAATTGTAATTAAGAATATCAATTTTTTTATTCAATTTTTGTATGTCAAAGTTTTTTAGCTTAATATATAAGTAACTTTGGAACAAAATTCCTGGTTAAATTAACATTTGATTTAAATTGGATATGTATTATATAGTAAGAAGAAGGAAGAAAGCACGAAGCCAATAACGGTCAACGCTGGATCACAAATGCTTATTATAATTATGTGTGAATTTATATACCGCGTATGTAGTTCTCCTAATCGCGTGCCGAAATTTTTTCCGGTCTTACAAGACTGAAAAAAAATTTCGGCACGCGATTAGGAGAACTACATACGCGGTATATAAATTCACACATAATTATAATAAGCATTTGTGATCCAGTGTTGACCGTTATTGGCTTGGCTTCGTGCTTTTTTCCTTCTTCTTACTATTGTTTATACAATTGTACGGTCGTAAAAAGATTAAATTAAAATTTAATATGTATTATATATATCGAACTTTTGTCGGTACAAATAAATGATGTTTTAATATTATTTAATATTCTGAATATCGGTTTGTTCGCGAGCATTAATTGAAACATGTATACAATATAATAATTATCGAGCGCTATATATCACACACTACACTTAGTTTGTTACACAAAAATGTACAAATAGTACTTGCATAATGTCGAACTGTTAGCTGCCCATCACTAGCGCAATAAGAATATAAAAGATGATATTATTTTTAAGATTTTCATAAATATATTTTTGACTCATTGTTGATCAATGAATTTACATCTTACTCGCAGCATATATATGTATAGTTAGAGTTACGTATTTATTTTTCTTCCGACACTGAATTCTCGACGTTACTGCTCGATAGTGCAGTATACATAAAGCTAACTTGGAACATCCCGCAAATTGACTGTTACGACAAAACGTTTAAATCTAGAAGAAACCGCTACATATTACACGATGTTGTATATCTATGTCGTGAAATAAACTATATATATCTTCTAAATATGTTATCCAAACATATCACCTAATGTTAAACATTGCATTATAGTTATATTTATATTTGAGTATTTTTCGTTTTATACTGTTCTTTTGCCATTATAGATCTATTCGTCAAAATTGTTATGAAAATATCAGCAAACAATTACGCATGATAAGTGATATTCTATTTAGTGCAAGTGACATTTAGAGATAAATAAAATATATAATTTATCGAGTTATATTTTTTTAAATTAAATACAAATTCTTTTCTATTATTACTTCATTTACAGCTTTTATTATTGCTATATATTTTTTTTCTAGCGATATAACACATACAGAGTGCATCACAAAAATCCAGACAAACTTCAATTTAAATTTTCCCCTATATTATACCTCTGCTGAGATTGTTGTTGGCGGTCGAGAAAGCCTGATGCTTCTATACAGTCATATTCTCAAAATGACCGCGACGTTGAAACCAGGTGCGGAGTATAATCAAAGAGCCGCGATCATCAAAGGCCTTCACGCTTAGCAACGGAAATAATTCAGTTTTTTGGATACCCAAGATGAATCGTTTATGATGTTGTGGCAAAATATATGGCTTCAAAATAGTTCAATGAAGGTTCCAGTATGCCAGCGAGGAAGAGACACTTAAAAGAACGCACCGCGAAGACCCCCTTCAATCGTCGAAAGGGCTCAAAGCGCTGATTTCGGATGACCCAGGGCAATTCTGATAAGTATAGTGAAGCCGTGGATAAAAACTGTACGTTTATGAAGTTGGCCCTTCATTGTCAAAATTTTGAAAAAATAAGCGGCAGAGTTCTGGTTGCCTCCCAAAGAGTTCTAGAGTTGTATAAAAGATTTAGGAAGAGAGTTCCATTAAAGCAGTGAAAATACCATTTGAAGTAACGGGAGGGCCAACTTCACGATTCTGCAACTTTGAAGTGCTATAACTTTTAAACCGTTAATTTTAGCACATTGGTCTATGAAGGACAATCGCGCGCGATAGAACTCTTTGGGAGGTTATCAGAACTCTCAAGAAAATAACGGATTTCCAAAATCTTTTTCAAAAAACAGTTCTATCGATTAAACTTCTTTTCCGATGGAAAAATCTTCGGTATATAGAACATTCATTTCACATCATTCGGTGTATTTTTATCACAACTCGTGGGAATCATGGTGGGTTTCAGAAGTTAAATCAATTCGAGGGGATTTTAAAGTTGCCTGTATTGCTTAAACTATACAATTTTTGTATAATAATTATCTTTTTCCTTATTTACTGATTTAAAAAATCTTTTTCAAGATTAAAATATAAGCATTTGATATGCGTCTGTGAGTTGGAGTTTATGCCGAGAATGTAAAAAAATTTTAAATTTGAGATTATTACCGTATTTCTTTGTCCAATATGGCACTGTGGAGACGTCATGACAACATTTGATTCGCATAAAAGCTGTAAAATGTATATTTTTGAAATAGTAGTTCACAGACTATAGTAGCATTGTACGCGCCATGCTCTTGTATTGGATGGTAGACTAAACAATTTTTATAATTAATAATTTGTTAATTATTTCGAAAATTGTCAAAAAATCTAGGACTTTTCGACTCACAATTTAATTTTGTGAATAAATTTCGCTCGTTTTTTGCAATGCAAATTAAATAATTAAACGGTCTAAATCGAGCTAAATGAATTTAATAATAATAATTATTGTAAATGATTTTAATAATAATAATTATTGTTCTTAAATTGACAATATAAAAAACTAACATTCAATTAATTTTGTGAGTTTGCCAGTCCATAAGTGATGGTGTAAAAGGAACCTGTTTATGCACGGTTGGGAAATAACTCGTTAGATACTTGAAATGCATAAGTATTGTGTGTGCGCGTTCTAATAGTACCTACATATAGTTTTCACAATAAGTAAATCTAAAACAAAATAAAATTAATTAAATCTGAAACCTTGTGCCCATGATGCTCGGAATAGAATCGCTCCGAGATTTCAGATAGAGAAGGAATGATTAAATCAAAGCATCGGGAATACAAAGCTTAGCCCTAAATAGAACTAAATGGATCAATTATGCCTATACAAAATACACGTTCGCTGAAAGAGACTATACATAGAACGATCTATCTTGTCTCACTTATTAAAATTGATAATTTTGTACATCTTTAGATAATAAAAAGGGGGACACCAGTGAAAGAATAATAAACAAAAAGATAAAATAGGCTCGATGAAATATATGCTTTCTTTTTACGAGAAGCACAAGTGTTAACACAAATTTTATTTATCATTTTATTTTTATTATTTATTGAATATTAAGAAAGATAAAACGATGTTTGTGTTGACTGTGTCTCTAAAACTTTGCGTTCAAGATGTTGCACGATCGTAGAAATCAGTTCGAGATCTCGGATCTATCTCGGATGATGAAGGAACTGGCAAATCAGTCATGTGAAGTTCAAATGTGATTTGTTTCTTCTCTATTCGAGATCTCGGACCTATTTCTAATATCGTGAAGATAAGACTAAAAAGAAAGCAACTATATCCATTACTTTGTGTGTGTGTGGGCGTGTGTGTGTGTGTGTGTGTGTGTGTGTATAAAATCACTTGTAACATTGTACTCTTATTATATTTCGGTATACTTAGAACTATATGTATACAGCTAAAAGATGCCCTCTTTTTTTGTTATAAACATAACAAAAAGGTCGTTCAGTTGAAATTGTTTCTTTCGTTTTCAAGCGTTAACACATATTTGATGCATCGCGATATAATATAATATAATATAATATATAGTGTAACAGTTCATTAGTAATAAGACATTTTAATTATCATCACACGCGTTACAGCCATGGAAAATGAAAACTTATCTCCATACAAACAAGCGTAAGTTTTTCTGTTCTCCTAATTTTTCAGAAATACTCGATTACTAAGCAATCTCAGAATAGTGATGCACAGATGCTAATCATTCAGAATCGTTTAGTGTTTATATAAATGCGACATTTGTAAAATAATAAAATTTTAATATTACGTCACATGTGAAAAAAATAAATTGTTATTAATATAGAACGCATAATCGCTCTCTCGCAATCAGTTGTAATTATTCCCCAATGACACACACATATATGCAGTTTTCATAAATTTGCAACATTTTAGACAAAGCTACATTCAAATAATGATGTTTACTTGTTATTTTCATGAAGATAATTCTTGTAAATTATTTCATTAATTAGTTATATCTCCTTATAAAACTGTATATATACTAATATTTTATAACTCTATAATATAATTTTTGTTTAAGGCTTGCTCTAAATTCGTGTCATGAATACAAGAATTTCGAGGGAATCATATATAGTCAAAAGGCATCAAGAAAAATTGACTTAATGTTTAATAAAAAGATAAAGGTTTTAGTTTGCAACTTTTGGCTAGAATGTGCTGGTACAACTGTAATTATGTTGATTACTGAAGATGGAGAGGTATGTTACAAAAAAATTTATTTATGAGAAAAAAATATTTGATATAATATCAAATGTTTATATACATGTGTGTGTGTGTGTGTGTGTGCGTGTGCGCGTGTGTGTGGTGTGCGTGCGTGCGTGTGTGTAACTGTGTAATACACTACTCAACAAAATGTAGGGAACACTTTCGAACACGCTAAAAATTGGGCAATATTCAGAACATCGTAGCTCGGTAAAAAATCATAACAGACAAAAATTAAAAAAGCATTTTAAAGGTTGAATTCTCTACTTTCGAAATCTATAATCGAAATTTTAATATGACTGATATTTTACGCCGAGGGGTAATCACTTAATGTAATCGTGGGACGGAGTTCCTGAAATCATTATAAAATTTCAATATATAATCCGACAATTACAAGAAATAATTGTGTAATATTAGATAAAATCGAGGAAAAATTATTTGTTATCAAATAAAATTATATAAAATTAAATGAAATCATATAATCTGTGGGACAATATTTCAGATAGTGGTTACCTCCTCGTTTTACGCAGTTATACGGATACAAATGCATATCCGTTATATCTAAAAATGTTTCACAAACTTTATAAAGATCTGTTAAGTGATCACTTTTGCTACAACATTCAATAACTCGGTGGAAAAAATCGTACAAATATCAGTAAAAAAAAAATTAAAAGTAAAGATTCCCTCTTTCGACTGCTGCAAACCGTATTTTCGTGTAACTTTTACTTCACGTCATAGACCTTCGTAAAGTTTGTGAAAAATTTTTAGATTCGACTAATATCCATTTCTGTCCATGTAACTGCGTAAAGTATCAATCATGGTGATAAATATATCAATTATAGATTTCAAAAGTAGAGATGTCAGCCTTAAAATTAAAATACTGTTTCATTTATTTCTTGACGCGTGCACGTAATGTGCCCTACACCTTAACGCTTTTGCGTGCGGTAAATAGCCAATACCTGAAGCCGGTAAGTTATTTCTCTAATCCCACTCTTCTGCGCAAAAACGTTGCTGTATAGGGCACATTACGACGAGCACTTGTAAAGAAAAATTCTATGTAGCGAGTGGGGGCATATTTGTTTATAGGTCGACACGGGCGCGCTTATGCACTCGCTTCGCTCGTGCGGTCGCGCTCGTCCCCACAATAAACAACTTCCCCCACTGTTACACAATGTACTATTGTGCGACGATTTTTCATCGAGTTACGGTGTTCCGAATATTCGTGTTCCGAATATTAAATATTTAACGTGTTCGAAAGTGTTTTCTACATTTTGTTGAGTAATCATAGTAGCGTACAACATAATAAGTAAAATCTATAATAATCTCTAACTTATCTTTGAAAGAAATATTATTGGAACAGCAACACAGCGTTCGTAGAAAAATACAAGAAACCTTTTGATGTCCATTACTGGCCTGATGTAAATGATTGGACCAACATACGCATTGTAAAAACTGCATTTCATCCCTCTAACTCTATAGTTTTAACTGATGATGGAAAGGTATATTTATGATTATGAATAAAATATTACAATAAATGTAATAATAATAATAATAATTTAAATGGAATTTATTTTTACGTATGGTTTTTTTTTATTTAAACATATTATATATGATCATTTAGATATATACGTATTACTTAACTCCACTCTATGTTTCGAGATTCTTAATAATAATTTAAATGGAATTTATTTTTACGTATGGTTTTTTTTTATTTAAACATATTATATATGATCATTTAGATATATACGTATTACTTAACTCCACTCTATGTTTCGAGGAAACATTACAAAATAAACCGCAGCTATATAAGACAAAAGAATATCGAAGGAAAGATCACATGCATTGCTTGTGGCCACAAATTTTATGTAGTTAGTACTAATAACGGTGAAGTGTATGAATGGGGTTTGAATTCGAAATATAGTATGCATGATCATGTAACTGACCATAATTTTATGACAAATCCATGTAAAGTGGTCGAACTCTCAGGCAAAACAATCGGTAATATATTTCTCTTTAAAACTTATATTTGTATTGTTTAATTAATATAGGAGTGAAGACACTTCAATAAATTTAGAATTTATGAAAATAATATACTATCTATTACATAATTAATTTGTTAAATAATTAAGTTTTTCTTTGATATTTTAGTTAAAATTGTTTGTGGACATTTTCATACACTTGCCCTCACCGATAAAGGAGTGGTCTATGCTTGGGGTGTTAACTACAAGAAACAATTGAGTTCACTTCATAAGAACAAAATTATATCTCCTTTTAAGGTAAATTATTTTACTGTTATTATTTATAAATTTTATAATGAAGGGAACAAATGAACATATAATAATAACTAAAAAATTTTGTAATTTGCAGGTAAGTATACCTAATGTAAGAAAAATGTCAGATATCGCCGTTATAGAATATGCGAGCGTTTTCAGATCTAGTAAAGATCGACGTATTTATATACGGGGTAATCTGTTTGGAAAACCTATTAAAGAATTTGCCATCTGCGAACACACCAATATATTTGACATATGCAATTCGGTAATGGCCCAATCACCAATATCCGTGACTCATACATTTACGGATGAAGAATATGCTATATTGAACGATTTAGAAGCGATATTTAACGACAGCGTAAGTTGTATTCTCTATTCAACCTCGTTAATCTATCTTTAATGGCTTTCCAATTAATTGGAAACCTGCCACATATCGCAATCAAGCAGTTTGTTACACATTGAACGTACTTACTTTAATCTTTTTAGTTTTTTTATCCTCTTTATAGATTTTCAGCACGTCTTTTATATTTTAGTAATCTTTCTCTTCTTATGACTTATATTTATATTTTGAACAATTCTTATTTCTCATGTTTAAAGGCAACAAGCGATCTTAGAATAGAAGTTGAGAAGAAATCTATTTATGTTCACAAGAGTATTCTGAAAATCCGTTCATCATATTACAAGACCATGTTCCAGTTTAATGAACATGAAAACAGTCGAAGGTAATTATTTATGAAACTAGCACTTTTATTAAAAACTTGTTATGTTTGTTTTGTTAGTTGCATTTTAACATATTATTTCGAAACAGGGTTATCAAGTATTATGATTATTCCTATATTGTGTACAGTGCTTTTTTGAAATATTTGTATACCGGTGTAATTGATTTATTGTCTTTGGAAAATAAATTAGGTGAGTTTTAATTAAATATATTGGTACCATCTTTAATTTATAACTAAAACGAAGGTATTATTGCAGAGCTCCTGAAATTGTCTAACCAATTCTGCATGACGAATCTTGAGGAGGATTGTATTCGAATAATAAAAAGTGAGATAACGCTATTAAACGTAGCCTACATTAATGAAACGGCAATACAGTTTGACATAAAGGTAACGAATGGCACCACTTTTCTCTTTTTTTCTAAATATTATTTTTTTCCAAGATAAAGTATTCGATGATTTATTTTATAATTAAGATTTACTGTCCAACTATAAGTTTATTCTTAATTATATTCTTCTTCGTACGTTACTTTTATATTTTCTATTTCTATAAATCAAATAACTAGTCGCGGCAACTGCATTTAACTATTAATCTATTTAGTTTATATGCTATTTATTTTATATGCTAAAATTTATTAAATGTCAAAAAATGTATCTTTATTCTGTATAATTAATTTACTTATTTATATGTATGAATATTTCAGGAATTAATGGATTATTGTTCCAAATTTATCCTAAGAGAAATATAGGAAAGGTTGTATCAAAAGACATCTTTATTTTGATTTTTTTTAAATCAATGACTCTTTATTTTTGGAAATAATATTTTTACTTAATTCTTGCAGTTTCTTTAATAATATTCTTGTAACTTTTTGTATGCTAAACACGAATTTGTTTTCTAAATTTGATGATCGTTTCAGAATTTGGAGAAAAAAATGTTAAATTTAGAAAATATTTTCATATTATTTATTTCTAAGGTATTTATGACGTTGCAATATTAGAAACAAATTTTTCTTCTTTTGTTTATAATGTCTTGCAAAAAACATCAATTTTATGTTTAATTACATTTTGTTTTGTTTTGATATAATTATTTCTTTTTGAGATATAGTTGGAAAATGGCTCTTTTTGCATGTATATATATATACAAGGTTATATTTAAAAAGTACATAGTACATATATTTATAATAATTATATAATATAATAATATAAATAATATAAGTAATATTAATTATAGATTATTATATAGATATAATATAGTATGTATAATATATGTATTTTAATAGAGATTAATATATAATTTTATATATGTATATGATAATAATATACATTTGATATTGTACATATATACACGTATAATAGCTTGCGATGATGCAATGAAATGATCCGTATTTTTCTGCCGTTTTAAATCAATAATATTTAAATGCCATGGATATGTTTATAAACTTATACTATTACTTGATCATTATATAAAATTTGATTTAATTTTTAACGCGGCTTCTTCATCAAATTTGTAAATCAGTATTACAAAATACAATGTTGTATAAGAATCAAGACAAACCAAAAAATTAAATAAATTTTAAAACCATAAGAAAATTGTGCTCAAATTTTATCCAGATATAATAATGGAACAGTTTATGAAATTTTTATGAAATTTATGTTTACCATATATTATACATATTTTTTGTATTATTTTTAAATATAATAGGGGAAAGTCATCGATACTGAAGACATCTCCTAAAGAGACACTCCCTTATTTCTCAGAAACTTTAACCTTTGCATCTTATATACTTGCATACTAATAAAAACGTGATCTATTTAGCTGCAGATTAAAGAAGTACAAACTCATGATTTATATATTTGTGGCTTATTTCTATACCAAATCAGTTAAACACAAATTCTACGAATCCAGGAATAAAATTTTTACGATATCCTTTTGCAAATTGCGTAATTTAAATAATAGTGACTATATATTATTGATAGATAATATTGTCATTTTAAATGCTTATAGTTTTATAAATTAGTTTTCTTTATAGAACAGGATATATATCTTTATTCTATAGAATAGGATTATAGGCAATACCAAAGACATAGAGAATGGACTGCGCGATCCGTGTGTCAAAACGGTCGATAGAGATGAGAGAGAGGGACCGTGGAAGACGATCAATCTGTGTCTTTTTCTACTCAATGGCGAAATTGCAATATTCCGAGCTCCGAGTTTAAAAGTTTTGAGACAAGGATGGTGTAAACAAATAAAAAAATTATAATTATTTTGTACCAGTAACAAAATTTTATTAGAAATACATGTTATTGACTTTTAAATAAAATAATTTTTGTATTTTTAGCTCTTATTTTAACCTCTTCCGGAAAGTTACAAGTATACTGACGTGATGTAAGCGAACATCAAAAAACTTATTTAAAATTTGTTTAGTGATAAATTTTCTATAATTCCTTGTACAATTTTCTTTATTATCTAAAATATATAATAAGGGAATTCTCTGCATAGATTTTTCAATTAATATTGTCCGACATTTTTTCTCGGCCCAGCTCTTACAGCTTCAGAAAAGTGGGACACAACCAACTTCCCTCAGCAAGAAAAACCTGACTTTTCAAAAATAAATTTCCCCTCAATAAATCGAGATTTATTGAGCGGACAGTGGACTCAGCAGGATTTGTAACAGACTACGCGTCCCTGTGAGAATTACCATGCGCTTCTCAACTTTACCGACAGTGAATTACTCAGCGGCATTCCGATAAGGCTACGAGCCCCCGTGAGTTTTTCATAAACATCACTGTTTGACGGTTATTCGGGACGAATGACATTTCGCTGGCCGAGCTAGAGAACCTCTAGTAGAGAGAATCGCCAACTTGGTCACGTGACCAATTACGTGATTGGCTGGAGGAAATGAGCAGATTTGGGCATCTCGACACCAATGCATGACGTCAGAACACATGGCGGCCCCATCGTTGGCGATGAAATATTTACGTCCCGATTAAATGGTCCGAGGTCCGGGAACGCCGTCGGGGTACACGAAAACGAAGACTGCCACTGCTGGGGTCAGTCTGCCACGTTCTAAATCTCGTCGTATAAGGTTAGTGATCGTTGATCGACTCTAGACACAAACTTCAATACCTAAATGTACATCTCTAGTTGATCGTGTACTCTAGTTGATCGTGTTAGTAATTATGTTTTAATATTATTTAAATTTGTTATAAATTTGACGAAATATTAAAGTGTTTATTGGCAAAAATCATAAGTAAACTTTTATTACATAAGAGATGTATATTTAGGTATTGAAGTTTGTGTCTAGAGTCGATCAACGATCAGTAACCTTATACGAAGAGATTTAGAGCGTGGCAGACTGACCCCAGCAGTGGCAGTCTTCGTGTTCGTGTACCCCGACGGCGTTCCCGGACCTCGGACCATTTAATCGGGACGTAAATATTTCATCGCGAACGATGGGGCCGCCATGTGTTCTGACGTCATGCATTGGTGTCGAGATGCCCAAATCTGCTCATTTCCTTCAGCCATTCACGTAATTGATGGTCACGTGATCAAGTTGGCGATTCTCTCTACTAGAGGTTCTCTAGGCCGACCTGTAAGATATCAATTAAGATCATACGTGTCGGACTGTGTGGCTCCGTGGCAAGGCGGTGGCTTTGTGTTTTGAACTACTACAAGGTCTTCGGTTCGAGTCCCGACATCGCGTCGAGCGTCCGACATTTTTTCTCGGCCCAGCTCTTACATATATATAAATATAAGAGTAATTAAGTAGGTTGTGAACCTAAGCTAGGATATCTCCTATATGTAGGAGACAGAGCACGTGTTTGTGAAGTAATCTAATTTGAAAAATAATATTTTTAAGACAATTCTTGTATTTTGTACTTCAGCGGATATTTCCTATTTTATATTTTATGGTATTATGTAAAAATATTTTGTATATTTTAGTATTAATACTAAACTTTACATCCTGAGCTTAATATTAAGCTGGGGATGTAAAGTGGGGAAGCTACCGGAAATGTAGGTGTGCGACGGCAATGCGCGTTGTCGCTCTATGCACAGCGACGCAGCGTCGTTACCCACTTCCGCGTCTAATTCTATGAAGCGGTAACCATTGTCTGTTTCGTCGTCGAGCGTCGGCGTGGTTGAGCGATTTTCGCTGACTTGTGAAATGCCATATTATTCGCATTCGTCCATTGTGTGATTTTCAAGTAGCGTCTAATATTATTATATTGCGCGCGCGATTATAGCTTATATTTTTTGAAGTATTCGATAAATTAAGGAAATAAGAACTGCATAATGATATACGCATACCGAAACATCGTGCATGACAAAATGTTTCGACGAATTTTTGCACACTATACCGCTATAACTTTGTCGTCGTCATTACTGGAGCACGAGATTGTAGCTCGAGCGGGAATACAAAAGCTGTTTCGATACTAAGATTGGAATATTATAATAATAAAATATTTCCTTTTTTCAGGTTAAACGCACATTTCGTACGATGACTGTGCCACCGGATTCCTATCAGATCTCAGTGAACATCATAAAGGCTATCAAAGAACACCCTGTACTTTATTGTACTGAGGTGAAGGGTGAGCCGGTGAAGCTGAAGGAATTCAAACTGCAAGTGTGGAAATATATCTGTGACGAACTTGGACTGGACTGTACGTATTTATGTCGTTTCCTTTTTTTTTTACGTACTATACTACTGGCTATATAATATATTTTGCAACTATTAAAAGTTTTTTCATTGAAATAAAACTTCCTATAAAAATCTAAAAATATAATCTACTCAGAACAACGTAAACATCTAATAATAGTAAAATGATTATTTTTTATTAAATGCAGTCAGAAACTATATGGTAGAAAAAAACAACTTTACACACAATTGTGGTTAAATTTTTTAAATATATTTGATGTTCTTAGCCTGGATCCTCATAGACCTAGTTTACACCCAGCCATCCAATCCTGATTCACTTTGAAGTGAAGTGGATTTATGGAATATTTACACTGGATTTGCTCTACTCCGCTGAGAAAAGAGGATTGAAATCAGTCGAAACTAATCCGTTTGCACCCAAGAAATTTCACTTCACTTCGAAGTGAATCAGAATTGGACGGCTGGATGTAAACTAGGGTCATACAGACAACAGTGCTTTGACACTAAATGTTGATTGGTAAAAAACAATTGTATAGATAAAATTTACATCCTTCATCCGCTTTTCACCAATCAGCGCTTGGTATGAGAATCCAAGTCCTTCATTAAATTTGAATGTATAAACCAATCATTAAAGAATCTTATATGACAATTGCAAATCTACTTTTTCTGCTAAATGCAATCGGTGATCACATTTTATATATATATTACCCCCCTTGCCGCGTATCCCATAGCAACGAATCTCCAGACGCTCTTGTAAACAACGCGCGTACCGGCTACCTCAAGAGCGTCTGTACTTACGATGGGATTGATGAATCCCCCTCAGCTTAAATAACTTATTAAAACCATCCTTTTTGAAGAATTTTAAATTAATAATTGAAAATATTTGTATATATTGTTAATATTAATAATAATATTATACATAGAGTGTTATTATTATTGATATATATATTTACCTTTCAATCATTTAATCATAAATATATCTTATTTAAAGCTCTTAATTTGTGCGCAAGATCATAATAAAATAATTTATTTTTGCAACATGTATAATATACAGAAAGAAAATCGACAATATAAGAAATATATGTACGTTATGTAATTATTAAATAATTATAGTTATAGGACAATAGTTTCCACGTCACCATTGAGGTACTATTGTTGACGCGTTTTTTTTTAAGTGGTTTCCCCAGTAGGCCTATTCCACTGAAAAGAAGAATGTGTAAAGAGAATTATTTATGAGAAAAAAACGAAAATTGAATGATGAACGAACAATGAATATTAATTTGATCTTCTAGGCCGTTTACACGATTCCACAAGAGATGATAAATCTACAGGAATATTGGAAGAAATGGTTCGCATTAATGAAGATAAAGATGTATCACTTAAAAAAGAATGTTTGTTTTTATATTTTTCATTTTTGAAAAGGAGCATTCACATAAATATGTAGATCCAAACATAGAAAAAATTCGCAAAGCAAAATCTTTAAGATTAGGATAATTCAAAATATTCAAAAATTTAAAAAATTCTACTCCTCTTTCTGGGCGCGTCTTGAGAGACAAATCATTTTGCAAATCGCAAAGTTCTTCTTGAAACTGTAAATCCTGATCTTCTATTTTCACGGTTAGAGGATTTTCAAAAAGAATTAAGTCCTTTCGAAGGCTCTCGAAATCTGTAAAACGCGTGTCGAACTGACTTATTAATAAATCAATTAAATTTATGAACTTTTTGAAATTGCAATTTGTGCTATATTCTGTGAAAAGTACCTGGCAAGAAGGATAAAAATGAAGATCATTATTTTCTAAATGATTTTTAAATAATAACAATTTACTGCGAAATGAGTCAGTATGACTAACTAATTGACTAATTGTCTGATTGGTTTCTTGCAGCTTTAAATTTAAGATATTTAAATGATTAGTTAAATCAGTAATAAAAGCAAGCTCACAAAGAAACTCTGTATCTTCAAAGAGAGATTTAAAGTCATCATCTTTTTCAACGGACATTTCTTGCAAGAAAAGGAAGATTTCTTTTCTTATCGCAAAAAACTTCTTTAAACAATACTGCAGCACTAAGCCATCGGACTTCACAATATAAGGGTACATCTGTATAAATTGCATCATGTTCTTCGAGAAAGTTTCGAAATTTTCGATGAGAAAGAAATTTTTGATCGCCTTTTATTAAATTAATAATTTTGGTAACACTTTTCATGGCGGTACATAATTTTACAGCTTTCCCGCATAATGCTTCTTGATGTATTTACAATAAGACGATTTGTCTTTTATGTGGTTATGAACCTAGTGTGGTGAAAAAATTTGTCATTGAAAGACATTATAAAAATAAGCATTTTAATGAATATTTCAAATATGTAGGTCAGGAAAAATGTAATATAATCGAAGGATTAAAGTTAATATATCAGGAAGGTTTAAATTCTTCAAGTTCTAACAATAATGATGTTACATCTTCGATTAAAGCTGTTACTGCATCCTATGCTATTTCACTTCTAATTGCCAAACATTCTAGGCCGTTTACAGAAGGTGATTTTATAAAGAAATGCCTCATCGAGGCAGTAAAGTCTTTCGGCAATTCATTGACTCTTGCTGAAGCTGCTAGCATTCCTTTAACTAACATGACAGTAGCATCAAGAATTCATAGTATTGCTTCTTCAATAGAAGAAAAATTAAAATGTTTACTTGCAAGTTGTAGTTATTTTTCATTATGTTTGGATGAAAGCACCGATAATCGACATATAAGCCAATTGAATATTTTTGCTCGAATCGTTCAAGACGATTTTTCATATATCGAGGAGCTGTTAGACTTCATTCCATTGCATGGCACAACAAAAGGTATTGATATTTTCAAAGGCGTTGAACAAACTCTTCAAAAATTTAATACTGACTTTACCAAATGTTCGGTTATTGTTACTGATGGCGCGAAAGCGATGCTAGGTCCAAAAACTGGTTTCTTTGGTCAAATAAAACAGCGAAATTTTAAATTACCAGTTATACACTGCATCATACATCAAGAAGCATTATGCGGGAAAGCTGTAAAATTATGTACCGCCATGAAAAGTGTTACCAAAATTATTAATTTAATAAAAGGCGATCAAAAATTTCTTTCTCATCGAAAATTTCGAAACTTTCTCGAAGAACATGATGCAATTTATACAGATGTACCCTTATATTGTGAAGTCCGATGGCTTAGTGCTGCAGTATTGTTTAAAGAAGTTTTTTGCGATAAGAAAAGAAATCTTCCTTTTCTTGCAAGAAATGTCCGTTGAAAAAGATGATGACTTTAAATCTCTCTTTGAAGATACAGAGTTTCTTTGGGAGCTTGCTTTTATTACTGATTTAACTAATCATTTAAATATCTTAAATTTAAAGCTGCAAAAAACCAGTCAGACAATTAGTCAATTAGTTAGTCATATTGACTCATTTCGCAGTAAATTGTTATTATTTAAAAACCATTTAGAAAATAATGATCTTCATTTTTATCCTTCTTGCCAGGTACTTTTCACAGAATATAGCACAAATTGCAATTTCAAAAAGTTCATAAATTTAATTGATTTATTAATAAGTCAGTTCGACACGCGTTTTACAGATTTCGAGAGCCTTCGAAAGGACTTAATTCTTTTTGAAAATCCTCTAACCGTGAAAATAGAAGATCAGGATTTACAGTTTCAAGAAGAACTTTGCGATTTGCAAAATGATTTGTCTCTCAAGACGCGCCCAGAAAGAG